TCTGTAAATTATACCATGACAAAGACTCTTCCTCATTTCTAAGTATCAACCACTGGCGTGGCGTACTTTGCGATACATCGATTGATCTGCCATTTAAACCTATAAAAAAGGATCGATAAACGGGGTGTTTGCAACAGACACCTTGATAATATATTCTTTACCATAGCTGCAAATGGAGGAGTATCGACAATCGATCCTTTACGCCTCGCCCCTGGTATCAACTTGACCGTATGGTATCACTACACTGGAAAAAAAACACATAGCATCTAAAGCCCAGACTCTTGAAAACATTGACAAGAAAAAGGACTCTTGATTCAATCAGATTTAAGCTTAAATCAAAAGGAAATCCGCTCAAATTAAGAGGCTTGGTTCTTGATTTAAGCTTAAATCTGATTGAATCAAGAGTATTTTTTCTTGTCGATGTTTTTAAAAGTCTCGACTCTAGATCCAATGTGTTTTTTTTTCCAGTGTATACCTACTAAAACGCAGAGGGATTAATGGAGAATTTGCAGGTGTCTGAAATTTGATATTTCGTGTTGAAGTGGAAACTACTGAGTGAACTGAACACGACGATACCCATGGTTCATGAATTGAACAATTATTGGAGCAGATATGGCAAAACGATCTGATCTGCTTAAATACGTGTGTTAAATGGGAAATGCCGCCAGATGGCGTGGCTAGGCGTACCATTCATTTCAACTAGCTATCACACTCAGAGACAAGAGACCCTCCACTGGCCTCTTAGCGACAGGTGGAAGCTTTTACTTTCGGGGTTTCAACAATTCCTTATGGACAATTATGAGCGAGCAACAGTCATCACCCTATTTTCGGCTGTTGACTTACCTACATGGTCGATGATGAGCTTCGGATGACGTCATAAGCCAAACAACTTTCCCAAACGTCGGCCATTTTCGGCTTGTTTGCAAAACGAAACTGCCAACACGTTGTTGAACATCAACCATGTAGGTAAGTCAACAGTAGAATGCTGAAGTCCCGAAAGTACACTGAGAAAAAGCTATGGTTTATAAACCTATTAGTGGTAAATATGGAACACCTATAATAGTCGTAAATAAACTAATGATTCTCGGTCTGTGAACCATACTAAGGTCTCTGTACCTAATTAAGGTACAGAGACCATAACTAAGGTATATGTGCTATTATTATATGTAGAGGTACTACTATTAGTGGTGTTCCATATTTACCTCTAATAGGTTTATAAGCCATAGTTTTTTCTCAGTGTAAAAGCTTCCACCATGGCCAAGTTACTAGTGGAGGGTCTCTTGTCTCTGATCACACTATTTTATACTCACCCTTGCGGAAGCATTTCTGAAACACCTATCTGCGAGGGTATCCACAGCAAACCATAATAAATAAGGGAAATCGAATACAAGTCGCTCACAATTTAGAGTGACTTGTGACGTGTGAATAATCATCCGAGTTCAAGTCTTTCATCTCAGGTCACGGCATCAGGAAAGTACACAAAGCGAAAAGGAGCTCGCGAACTGATTTTAGTATTTAATTATGAGCGCAAAGAATGGGCGGGGATGCAGATGCTAGAGCTAAAAGGATTTTACGATTCAAAGAATATCGACGATACCTAGCAAGAGTTTCGATACCATAAAATCGATAGATCAACCCCGGTGCACATTGATGGACGGGGCGTGCATCGAATACTATCGATTTCCTTCGAGTTTGATTGATTGAGCCCCAAGTCGAGATGGCAATTTTTTCCATTTATCGCCGGAAACAGCTATACCTCTCGCATCGCCAAGGAAAATTGCCGTAAGGACATGTACATGTTGCCAAATTTACCCAAACAAAATTTGCAATCGTTGGGAAAGTAATTAATATTTTTCCTCAAAATTTTCAGATACTTTAGGTTTAATTGCTGATAAAATTGTCAGAAAAATTGGAGAAATTTTTTTCAAAAATTTACCATTTGACGGGTGTTTTATCGACGGAAATTTGGCAACATTTGAGGGCTTGCACCGCGTTCTGTTTCAGCACGGCAATTCTCGCCTCAGCATTTACATAGACAAAGGTTCTATCAGTTTGCTACTTCGTTAGAGTTGTTGAGGTTTATGTTCTGACGGGCCGATGGCATCGAACTGAATTCTTAATTGACTTGATTCCGCGCGTGTTTAACCTCTGTCCTGCATTCTTGCAATAGTTTTGCAAATTTTTCAACTTGCAATGGGTTGAAAATTAGAGTTTTTTAAGCTATCTGTGGAGTTATTGGTCCAAAAATGAGAGTGTTTACTGCCTGTAAATGAAAATTCAAAGATATAACAGAGAGAGAGAGAGAGGGGGAGGGAGAGGGGGAGAGAGAGAGAGAGAGAGTGAGGAGAGTGGGGCAAAGATTAACTCAAAGAAGTTCTGTTATAACTGAATTTAAATATTAGAGCATATGTGTTCAGTATGGAGTTATAGACTCTCCTAGCTGAAAGATACAAAATATCGAGGGAGGATCAGCTACAACTGCTACAACTGACGAGCCTCGTGCGTCTCGGTAAAAGTGAGAAAAGTGAGAGTGCCTTCAATTGTGAAGATGCAATGCGCACATCGATGGAACACGAAAAGTTGCACCAAGGCGTTACAGTCAACTCACAGTCAGTCTAGTCTTTGTAAATCGGAAACACTCCAATTTTTTAATATATGCATCACGCACATCCAAGACACTGAACCCTGGTAAAAATTGGCGATAGGAGCTACGTTTCAAAATACCATAGGAGTTTTTATAGCCGACTAAAAAAGGCTATTGAAAATCATACAGCTGGCTGTAGAAAGTGGAGCAAATCATATAGCCGGGCTGTAAGAAGCTATAAAAAAGTATACAGTCGGGCTATAGTTCCTATCGCCGGGCTTTACACTTTATCGCCATTGGCTATAAGAGGCTATAGGAAATTGTGTAGAAATTCGTGTGGTTTGGAAATCATGAAGTTTGATACGGAACTACCTTAATATTTACAAAACACACACTATATTTTCCTTTAAAACATATTTTTTTTTCATCAATTAAAATGAGAATCATCCATACAGAGTGTGGAAACATTTCAAAATCATGAGTTGAAAAACGCTGACTCCGCAAGATTAAATATTAGAGTCCAACACAAAGCGGAGCGGCGACGCACTGGCGCCTACAAACCTAACAGGGATACTTCACGCATTGCGCAATGCGTGAAGTATCCCTGTTAGGTTTGTAGGCGCTAATGCGCGTTTCGCGCTTTCTGCCCGCCCGCCGCGCCGCAGCGTCCCACGGCGTCTGAAGCAACTATTTCACACCAGAGGTTGTTGCACAGTATCATAAGAAATTGAAGGCGCTCCAACATATTAAGAATGACAGGCATCCTTCAAAAGTACGGAACATTCCTCACAAAATAAAGCAAGATACTACGGTCCAAAAAGAGAACAGTATTCCAAAAACTCAGTAAGTCCTAGTATCCGTATTTAGTAACATTTAGCATAAACTTTATTGTCTGGCTGTTGCTTAGTCGCCATCGGCTATAAGAGGCTATAAGAAATTGTGTACCCGGCTACAGAAGCTATTGGAAATCTTACAGCCGGCTTTAGGTCTATGGTATTTTGGAACACAGATTCTACTGCCAATTACCAGGGAAAATATACGTAAAATTTTACAACAAAAAAATGCTATTTTAACCACTATTATAAACTAATTAAACCACAGGAGTGGTTAAAGTAGCATTTTTGGGTTGTGAACTCTACAGTCAAACATTGCAGTCACTTTTTTTTAGCAATTGAATTGTTAAATCAGCAATTTAATTCCTTCCGTGTGCAGCACTATAATGAGCTTTTGATGCGAGGCTAGCAAGGTTCTTCAAACGCAAATAAAGGATGGTCAGACTTACTGTGTAAATATGGCAACTGCAGTGAATGCCTTTACTTGAAAAAATGCAATCCCATAATCTTGCTGTGACAAAGTAGTGAAAGAAACGGAGACATCATGTAGTTGTGGCATGTGAATCACGCCGAACCTGCCCGGGGAATGCGAAAACCGTCCGATTTTGCCCAGAAATGTGTCAAAAGCGACGCAATTTTTAGCATCGTTCAACTCAATGATACACAAGTCTCCGCGACGCCTGCGGGTCTTCCTCATTTCCGACTGAACTCTTTGGGGATTTATGGTGACAGGGGTCTGTTTATAGAAGAAGAATGTTGGTGAAATAACGGGCATACGACCTTTCTTCCATCTTGCGGACTCTCATCCTCACATTGCGTATAAAAGGACCCACCGTTCTGCAACACAACCCAGTTCATGGCTTTTCTCAGTGGCACCGGTTGAAAGTATGGGTATCTTCGTTGAACATGTATTGCTGTTTTCCCGATTTATTTTACCCCCACCCCCTACCCTTAGTTTTGTATCCTTAACGCAGGCTTCGAGCCCCCACACTCCTAATCAATACGTCACAATAACCCCAACTTCTCTCCCATGTTTCATTAAAAAAAAAAAAAAAAAAANAAAAAAAAAAAAAAAAAAAAAAAAAAAAAAAAAAAAAAAAAAAAAAAAAAAACCACACCCTCCCTCACACACACTCACACACTGCAAAAATGTAGCATAGTGGTATATCCGTTGAAATTTACGAATACTTTTTGAATGATAAATCAACATTTTCCACGAAGCTCACAATTTGTTAAAAGATGCTTATTTTCAGAAAATCTTGCACAATTTTCTCGCACGAGACATGTGCCCCATTATCTAAATTAGGTAATTAGATACTCACCTGGCCATTGCAGGCGATTTACCGCACCGAGGTAATTTGAATGCAGCCTCCAACCCCTCCTCTCCTCTATCTCTTGTCACACCTCAAACTAATTAGATTACTCCAAAATATCACTGATGATTAGTCAATGAAAGTCAACAAACAATCTCTCCATCAGCGCGAGGTGCATTGTACTGAGAGTGTGTGAGTTCATCAATTTAATATCTTAATTGACTCTCCGTAAGGCCTCTTCATGTTTCAAGTCATTATATCTCCCAAAATTTGTTTGTAGCGCACTTCACAGCATACCAATTTTTATCGGCGCTTTAAATACAGCTCTCCAGCTCAGATGAACGTGTTAGTGTTTTTATTCATGAGGGTAGTAAGGGTGCTCCCGGTCAGTTTACATTTGCTGAGAAGTGAACGTCTTTTCGTTTTACTACTGCTTCACTGTATAGCAGTGAAATTTTCACCAGCTCTGGGAATCGAGATGTCTTCCAAAGTGCAAATTACTCCGATTGGACCTCAACTTGACCTTGGCGAAGGCCCACATTGGGAGGCTAAAACCAAAACACTGTACTATGTCGACGCGTTTGCAGCGACAGTTCATCGACACGTCCCTCACACAAATGAACACAGCCACTGCAAATTTAAAGGCAAGTGCCAGTCATGGACATTTTTTCTCATTTTTATCCACACTTTAAGGATATTGACTCACAGGAATATTATATAGATAACATTTAACAACCTGCAACTGCCTCTGGTTTTTTATAGAACCTTGCGTGGTTTTTGCGTGTACTCCTTGTCGTGACTGTATACGCACAGTGCGTCCTCCCTATCTTTTCCAATTTTGTAAACGTCCTTATATAGGGTCTTTCAGAAAAAAACGAACCACTTTGAACAACTCGAGAACGCTTTTAAGTTTCAAAAACCCTAAAATATATGTCAGCTTACTTTCACAGAGATATCATTTAAGCCTATTTTCACTTGGACCCCCCCTCCCCGTAACTCAAAATTTCAAGTGGTTCGTTTTTTTTCTGAGACTTCCTGTATGTAAGAAATCTTGAGCAATTCGACACATTTTTTCCAATCCCCTAATGTAGATAGACTCTTCACGTTTACACGCATCCACCCAGTCTTCTCAGTGCTTAAGAAATGGAGATGTTGCACGTGTGACGAATTTGCGATTTGACTGTTGATTCTTATGTTGAAGTTCGCGAGAAACACGATGGTGCCCCTGGTTTTCTCTGAAATCAACTCCCAAGCTCAAAAAAAGCCCTCAAGTTGAGGCCAAAATGGAGGGGATATCCCACCCTACCCTGAGAGTCCACGTCTACATCAAGACAAACTCTCCATGCAAAGATAGGGAGCAAATACATTGACAGGGCTGCCACTTTATTTGGGGACTCCAAAACTGAAAACACGGCAACCCTGCTAATGTATTTGCTCCCTATCTTTGCATAGAGAGTTTATTTTGATGTATAGATGTGGACTCTCAGGGTAGGGTGGGATATCCTCTCCATTTTGGGCTCAACTTGAGAGCTTTTTTTGAGTTTGGGAGTTGATTTCAGAGAGAACCAGTGGCACCATCGTGTTTCTCGCGAACTTTTACATAAGAATCAATAGGCAAATCGCAAATTCCTCACACATGCAACATCTCCATTATTTTTGAAATTTTTGTCAACAGGTAATACGGTATCCTTCGTGATTCCTGTCGAGGGAAAGGAGGAGAGCGAATTCGTGATCGGACTCGAACGGGAAATTGTGCACGTGATTTGGGATCTGAAAAGCGACAAACCGACGGCAACGCGGGTTCTGTCTGCCGCCGAGGAAGATCGTGGCGGCAATCGGGTGAACGATGGAAAAGTTGATCCTGCTGGTTGCTTATGGACAGGTGAATAGCTCACATATCATCGTTTAACTCTTTGGATTAAATTAGTTCATGACAGCGCCAATTTATCGGGATTTTAAAGAACAAAAAAAGAGGGTTAGTTTGTAGTAAATCGTCACTTGGCTGACATAAGGGCGTAACTACATTCAGAGATGCGCCCAGGAAATCATTGAGTTATACGGGCAACAGGGTTCACTACAATGTGTAGTTACGTCCTTATGTCAGAAGGACGATCTTATTTGCGTCGTTTTTCCATAACGTAACTACATTTTGACGAGGCAAAATTTCCGCTCCCAAATTGTAGTTTTTAATTGACATTATTAATTGAAGACTCCATCGATTTTTCTCTGATTTAGTGTAAAAATCAGAAAAATTTTAACGAAACAAATCAAATGCATAGTCTCTTAAAAATTGAATTGTTTGAGTCAATTTTACAAAGAATGCAGTTAAATTTCTCCGTCTAAAAAACGAAGTATTGGTGGTGGGAAAGCTGTAATACATACACGTTTCTCAATTTGCAAGTTTGCAGATTTCATATCATACCTGTTACTATATTTCATCAAAGATAAATTGAAGGGGTGAGGGCCAGGGGTACTTAATTACGCTGGAACTTTGCAAAGTTTAATCTGACAACTTCTTTTTAGTGTTCATCGGATGTACGTCACATCGAAAATTTAGAATATTTTGGTCAAATCATAGAGAAGATATGTACATCAAACATTTCAAAACATACTTTGGAACCGTTTTCGAGTAAATTCATAAATTGTCGAACGAAACTTTGCAACATTGTAATACCTACGAAGCCTCCATGGTTTTCATCACCTCAATCGGCGAACATTATTTCTTGGAAGTCGTCAATAATTTTTTTTGTTGCATCCTATGTTGAATATTACGAGGATTTTCGAAGCAAAGCGTTTTTTAGCTTTCCAAAAAATAAAAAAACAGCGGTAATTAATGACTTTCATAATCGATACATAAGGCTAATCATCCAAGGCATAAGAGATCATGGTATCCAGGAACTGATCATTGAAATATCGGAACCATGCATTGAAGAGTGTTTTAAAAACATTTGAACGCAAGAAGTGTCCAAAAATGTCCAACCAAATCGGAGTTATGAGTATATAGTTTGATTGGAAATTTATATTTTAAATTTAGAAGAAGGCTTTCTAAGATTTTTAATCCGTTATATTCGGGACTAAACATTTCCGCGTTAAAAATGTTACTTTATGCCCTTTATAACAAAAAAATGAACTAAAATTCTTGCAAATATATCATGAAGAATGTAATTCTCTTGTAAAATTCGCCTCTGTGGACTAAAATACCTTTTATAGATGCAGGTCATATACATATACTCATACACAGTATCACCGTCCATATAGATCTTTAAGTGGTTCCTAACTGCTACTGCTACTGCATTCACAAGTCCACGGTTAACATGAGGAGACTCTCCTGAAGGAGAAGGAGATTATTCCAAGAATTTGATAATAATTCATGGAATATTTATTTATTTATTTTTTTATAGAAACAGAGGAATATTGTATAAGAGGGGAAAATCAAGTTTAAAAGTAGAGAGGAAGGGCAAAGAGAATAAAACCTTGGAGTTCGAAATTGTAGCAAGTCTTGTAATATCCCGCTGTGAGCATATTTATCAAGCAATACCAGGTTGCAATCATCATAACTCCAGCTTCCATAGGTTTTTATATTCCGATTTAAATTGAAGTACTAACCTCGCCCCAAGGAAAGGAGGCTTAAAATAGACGAATGAAGAAATATTTCATTTTCCTAAGAAAATTCACTGACTGATATTGGATAAGTAAAAATCTTAGGAGAATGAGTATTGTTGATACTGTTGGCGGTTGAAAAGAAATACTCGAAGTACACAAACAAGACAAAAAAAAGCCACCGCATGGAAAATAGTTCCGTGGTTATATCGTAAATTAAACACAAGATAAAATACTTCAATCCTCATGATAACATCGAGCGTAGAACTTAAGGACGTTTGGAGCTCCTTCAATTGAGATAGCTGCAAAATATGCTACACCACAGCTCAAAGCGTTCTTATAGCTTTCCACTGATCTGAAACATTTGCTCTAATCTAGGACTCGTCTTATCATTAAATAATCACTCAATCTTGAATTTCAGTTTTTATCTGGAAATGAAGAACGAAAAAGTTTTTAAGGGTTGATTTCCTGCCTTATCCCAGATCCGATATAAAGTTGCATGTGAATTGTTTAAAATCAAGCTTGTTAAGGTAATTTGGATACTTCACTTGGACTTTAAGTGACTCTCGGGGCCGGGGCTAAGTTCGGCTGGCTTCAGCCCTAAGCGATTGGAAAGGTCCCGTTCAATCGTATTTTAGTTTGAAGTTGTGTTAACAGAGCTCGTGTTCAATTTGTGATTTTTGTGATTTGTAGGAATTGTAGGAATAAAAAGTATATCACCCGCATTTCGGTAGTTCATAGTTATTTCTAGCAAAAGCTACGCTTTGCCCCTGAGGTATAGTCAAGCTCGGACTGCGGGATCAACACTCATTTTATCTTGGGTCTTGCGGGATCAACACTCATTTTATCTTGGGTCTATTACGTTAATCGTTTTCACATATTTTGCACAGTCGTAAGTTTCGTGCACATTCGTCATAGTCTTAAATTTTTTTTTTTTTTTTTAAATACATTTTTAAATTATTCAATCTCTTCTCCAGGAACTTTGATGCCGGGTCAAGGGCTGGACGATGCCCCATTTACGTCTCATCTTTACAGCTTTGACAAAGGATCGAGTCCAAAAAAACATCTCTCAGGAATCGCTGTCTCTAACGGACTTGCTTGGAGCTTAGACCACAAGACACTTTTTTACATCGACTCGCTGAAATACAAAGTCCAAGGCTTTGATTATGACATTACAAACGGAACCATCAGTAAGTAATTCACATTTGGGTGGCTGCAGTATTTTTAAGCGAACATTGAATTAAAAAAAAGTTTACGCCATTCTCTCTTCACATTGTTCCCGTAATAACTTAGGAGAGTTATGTATACACATGTCTTAGTCGTTCATCAGGAAAAGAACCTCGGTACCTAAAATATGAATTTTTTAGGAAGATATTCTTTTTACAGTGTACTCGTTTACTGTACATGTTATGGTTATACTGCATCGTAATTTTTAAGGACTGCAACCGAGATTCATGGTTCTCTTTTGGTTTCGCTAGTGATACTGAGTAAGAAACTATTGAGCGGGAAAAAAAAACATTGCGGAGTCCAAGTTTGTCAGTGCACAACCAACCTGTTATCTCTCAGCCAACAGGACATTCATGTCCATTAGGAAAAAGAATAATGTAATTATAGTAGATACAATTTTACTATATTTGTATCCTAGCATATGAGGGGCTTGGAGGACAAGGCGCATTAAAACTGTTTTGAAAGAATTGAGATATAAATGATTTCAAGTTAAACTAGTCTGACTGCATCTTCTGTAAAAAATTCGCTCCCAAATTCCAACTTTTAAGCATCAAAAAGCCAATTCGAACTTTCTTTCCGCCATAAGGATCTATGTAATTTCGAAACTTCGAACACGTATTTCTCGAAGAAGCAAAAACTGCACTTATGCGCCTTGTCCTTCAAGCCCGCATCATATATCGTCGTCTTTCTGACACAAGGGCGTATCTCTTTTTCCACATGAGCCTTGGAAAACATGGCGTCATATGGACATCAGGTTTCAAGTGGAAATCTAGCTACGCTCTTGTGTCAGAAAGACGACGATATATGAGTCCTCCGAGCAGAGGCGGATCCAGCAATTTGGCAACACCGGATTCCTCCATTTAAACCTATGCTAAATAATCGATTCTTGTCGGAGCACCTGGCCCCTCCAAGAATCGATACATTCCCATAGCTTTAGATGGAGGAAATCCGGTGTTGCCAAATTGCTGGATCCGCCAATGCCTCCGAGCAGGGTTTACATCTTGGCATCTTACAATGGATGGGCTTGAGATTCATCCCCGATCTAAGATCCATTTGATTCGACGGGGAAGTTGTCTAAATGCACTGTGAAATCTTTGATGGAATGAGAAAATGGCTGAAAAATACTATGAAATCGTTCATAATTTTTGACGGTGGGCGTGTTATTGTTGCAGATAATGAAAGGACCGTTTTTGATTTAAAAAAGAATAACGTGGAGGGAATTCCTGATGGTATGACAATCGACAGTGAAGGTAAACTATGGGTCGCTGTCTACACCGGTGGAAAGGTAAGGAGTTTTTCCATATTCTAGAATCAAAAACTAACGTCATGTCAGTCTGGTCAAAGTAAATAACGCTGAATACCAGTGGCGTGGCATGTTTTGAGATGTATAGATTGATCTGTCATCTAAACCTATGGAAAAGGATCGATAAACAGGGTGTTCGCAACGAACACTTTAATAGTCGTTTCTATACTACAGCTTCAAATGGGGGAAATATCGATAAACGATCATTCACGCCTCGCCACTACTGAACACTAGTGTGATTTTGCGTTTCAATTCATTTAATTGGTCAAAATTTGCAGTTCGTGCTGATGCGTCACAAGATTGTGTGCTCCCCTGCCTCCAAGAATAAATTTTTGAACCCTTATAGTCTCATGCCACATGTTAAAAATCGGATTCAGAAAAAAGAGAAAAGGCGACAAAAGCTCTCATTTCCTGAGAGTTAAAGTATAGTCATCTCTAATTTGTTCGTCTTGCAGTGATACAAGAGACAGCACCTTCCATTAGTCTAGTTGAAAGAGAAACCAAGCACGCAATTTGACCTGGAGCGGCGCGGCGCAGAGAGCAATGATGACGAGGACTTGAGATGATAAGGGGAAGTCTTCGGCGCGGCGGTCGGCATGTAACGCATATAAGTGCCTGCAAGGCTGCATGAATACTTCACGCATTGCGTCAAACGTAGTGCGGTCAGCAGCGGTTGGCGTGAAAAGCATAGCGCCTACAAGACTGCATGAATACTTCACGCATTGCGTCAAAAACAGTGTGGTCAGCAGCGGTCGGCGTGAAACGCATAACGCCTACAAGACTGCATGAATACTTCACGCATTGCGTCAAAAACAGTGCGGTCAGCAGCGGTCGGCGTGGAACGCATAGCGCCTCCAAGACTGTAGGGACCCTTCACGCAATGCGCCAAACACGGTGCGGTCGGCACGGTGGCGGAAATTAAACTTATTAAACCACATTCTAGTTTAATCTTCCATAATTTTGTCGTTCATTATTATAAATGAAAGGCCTTGTCCATACAGAGATAGGTTCACGGAACTTAACTTTTGCGCAAAGTTCCGTGAATTTTTGCTATAGTGTTGACAGGGCTTTCACAAAAAATGTGCCCAACACGAGTAAACGCGTCTTACTGCACCCCTCCTCCTTCGGCACGTTCACTTGATATTTTGCATCGATGTTTCAAAACGAATGAGAAGGGGGTGGCAAAATACAGGCGGCCCATGGGCGGCAAGTAGGTTAATCCGGCTCTGTTCAATATGACTTTTTGTGCGCAAAAATATGTTATGTCCTTGCATATGTACCTACGTTGCAATACTGTGTTATTTAATGTTTCAGGTTATCCGCATTGATCCTGACACGGGCAAATTACTGTACATATTACCGATCCCGAGTTGGGAGGTAACATCAGTGGTTTTTGGAGGTCCGAATCTGGACGAACTTTACGTCACGAGTGCAAACAAGACAAAAGATTACCCAAAAGACAAGTTTCCTCAACCTGGACAAACTTTCAAAGTTACCAACCTCGGCGTAAGAGGCACATCAAGTCGTTCGATCAAACTTCAATGATACGACTCTATTGTTGGAAAACAGGAGCTTCTCGTTGGGAAGCCAAAATAAGTTTACAAGAAGGAACAAATTAATGAAAAAAATCTCCTTAAATTACCACGTAGGGAACAAAACCTTTGAACCTCTAGATCAACCAGTTACTTAATGTGGCAGGTGCTTGCAAACTATCACTGCTTCAAGTTGCAAGTTACTCTCGAGGAGTTGAAAGGTATTAGTTTTCAAAATTCTTGAGCCTCACTTTTATTCGATATATTTTTAGGATGAGGAAAAGTGTTCAATGTCGGAAACAGAGAGAAAAATTGGCATTGCGGGATAACATTCCAGCAGTGAAAACAATTAGAGCTGTATTTTTCTATCGCCGTAGGGTTGAATTATACTTTATTTCGGAAAAACATATCACCTCATGCGTTGAATTTTGTATTCACTGACAATTTTGATCAAATTGTATCCAGCATCTCGTAATATATATCTCTATTGGCTTTCACATTGCTTGTACTCGTGAGCTTTTGTGCTGCACTGAGCAGACAACACAACATGTTTGAATCAGTGACATTCCTCGAAAGAGGGTTATTCAAAATCGGCAATTTTACCCTACGCTTGGATTTTGCCCGGAGTTGGATATGTTGTTCCCTATCACAAGACACGCCTTTTTCCGGCATTGGCAAGTTCACCCGAAATTTTTCCCGCGCGCTACAGCGTTGCCAAGTTGAAAACAGGCAAATTCCGTAAGTGGCATCAAAATTGAGCTATGAAGTTGCGGATTTAACGAAAATTCTCTAAAAATTACGCACTTTTAGGATATGACCATGTTTTTAATGTCGCATTAATTTTAACATGCATTATTGCCAAATTTCCGATTTTTGAATTCGACAAATGCTACATATTCGCAAATACCCAAAAAAGCTATCTTCAAATTTGAATAAAAAGTTGTCTAATCGATAGTTCGTTCGATTCCGCATCCATCGATATATTATAGCTCGCTAGGAAACTTTTGGTTCGCGAGATATCATCATTTTTGTGAACAGCTTTGTGGAGCGACGACGCTTTTTGAGTCCGGGCGGATAGAAATTTTAGCCTCCAAAAACACCGGGTAGCATTAATTCCATGGTTTCCTATGTAATTTTTGGCGCTGAATCCGAATTTGACCATTTCATAAAAAAATTGTCACCAAGATGTTGCCAAATTTGGCAAAAATTGCTTAAAATCGGCCTTTTTGGCGGATTGTAGCCTGTGACTTGCCAGGAGTTGATCAGACGACAAAATTGGTTATTTCCACAGTTAAAACTCGTTAAACTATCTACAAGCTGAGTCAAATTCTTTCTGCTCACGGTAAAATTAAACGCGCGACAAGCAGCAAACTGAAAAAAGACACCAAAATTGGCGCTTTTTGCGGTTTTTGTCGTAAGTTTCTTGTTTTCCGATTAAGAGAATGTTTCTTAGGAAAATCCTAATTACGCCGAGTGTAACGACAAACTATTGTATTGTTACATATATGTATAGATAAAGAGCCGCTTTAACAGCGGTCTCTCGGGCCCCGCGACGCCTAACCGCCATAGTCCCTTGTCCACCCACAGGTCCTCAGTAATTTAGAGCGCCCTTGTTCCTTTTTAAGCCCCTTATTGTCCTTTCCTGGGCGTCTTCTTCAGTTTGGTGTCGTTACTTTTTTCTATTAAACTCCATTATCTCAGAATTATAAAATAAAATTGTATTCTAAATATAGGGTAATGAATAATAACGGTCAAATACCGCCAAAATTCAACGATTTGTACGTAATTTTGGCAATATTGCAATGCGTCTTGTCTTGTTTTAATGAAGTCTGTCTGAGGAGTACATTTTATTCATTAATTTTTAACAGAAAATTTTCCATTATTGTTTCAAAATGTGGTTTATTGACACGATTCGATAAAACTCACTATTTTATGAATTTTTCCTCTCTGAACTAAATACCCTAGTTATTAGTATATATCTAAGTTGAAAATTAAATTATTCTACAGAAGTGTATTATTTTGCAAGAGAGATACATTTATAAAATTTAAAAATAAGAGGTGAACAAAGAATATAGGACAATAATATCGAAAAAACCAGCGAAAATTAAAGTATTTTGTTTAAGCTTGGCAACATTGGACTATGTTCGATCTTATTTTATTGTTCAATTTTATTAAATTCTGCTCATGTTGTTCATTAGTATAGTCAAGAAACATTCTCTTAATCGGAAAACAAGAAACTTACGACAAAAACCGCAAAAAGCGCCAATTTTGGTGTCTTTTTTTCAGTTTGCTGCTTGTCGCGCGTTTAATTTTACCGTGAGCAGAAAGAATTTGACTCAGCTTGTAGATAGTTTAACGAGTTTTAACTGTGGAAATAACCAATTTTGTCGTCTGATCAACTCCTGGCAAGTCGCAGGCTACAATCCGCCAAAAAGGCCGATTTTAAGCAATTTTTGCCAAATTTGGCAACATCTTGGTGACAATTTTTTTATGAAATGGTCAAATTCGGATTCAGCGCCAAAAATTACATAGGAAACCATGGAATTAATGCTACCCGGTGTTTTTGGAGGCTAAAATTTCTATCCGCCCGGACTCAAAAAGCGTCGTCGCTCCACAAAGCTGTTCACAAAAATGATGATATCTCGCGAACCAAAAGTTTCCTAGCGAGCTATAATATATCGATGGATGCGGAATCGAACGAACTATCGATTAGACAACTTTTTATTCAAATTTGAAGATAGCTTTTTTGGGTATTTGCGAATATGTAGCATTTGTCGAATTTAAAAATCGGAAATTTGGCAATAATGCATGTTAAAATTAATGCGACATTAAAAACATGGTCATATCCTAAAAGTGCGTAATTTTTAGAGAATTTTCGTTAAAACCGCAACTTCATAGCTCAATTTTGATGCCACTTACGGAATTTGCCTGTTTTCAACTTGGCAACGCTGTAGCGCGCGGGAAAAATTTCGGGTGAACTTGCCAATGCCGGAAAAAGGCGTGTCTTGTGATAGGGAACAACATATCCAACTCCGGGCAAAATCCAAGCGTAGGGTAAAATCGCCGATTTTGAATAACCCTCTTTCTATCGTGAACATTTATTCTTCATATCTAAGATGATTAGAAATTCTAAGTATTGATCAATTCAGATTTTTTTTTTTTTTTTTCAAAAATAGCGAAGCACATACGTTCATACCTCTACTTGTTTGCACGACGATATCACATTATTGTTTCTTGCACTCGATCTCTATACTAAAATCAGACATTCATACATTGAAATATGTGAATAAATTACTTTTACCTAAATTACCCTGGAGTTTAAAGCTTATTTTAAGTTGATTTCATCCTTACTTTCTCCATCCCGCATAAATCTTGTTATTTCTCGTATTTTTCTTCTCCTCTGATTATATTAATTTAATCATACAGGAGAAAAACCGTCAGGTTAAAAAAAATCTGTCGATGAGTATTTTACGCTTAAAGAGAAAAAGAAAAAGAAGTCTATAAAAAACGATAACTAAAAAATTGAAAGTTGAACACAGATGAATTCGATCAAATCGACTGCCTCAACCATAAGTGAGGTGCCTGTCGTATTATGTGTGTCTCTTTGTTGCATGACTCAACAAAATGTACTGCTTTACCACGTAGCCGAATTAAATGTAAAAAGACGTTTGAAGAAAAATGAACCAACTTTTTCTGAATCCACAAGCTCCTCGGAAATCGCGACCTTCTTACTTTTACTTACTGATAACACGTGAGACGAACAAAATATACCCCGGAAGTGCTTTCGGATGGTTGAAACGAATTTCACTTTCTTGCATTTCTTAAGGAAGAGTTTTTTTAGAGGACTCCCGCTCGAAATTATGAATTAAAACCACTTCAGTTCGATAAAGAGGGTTATTCAAAATCGGCGATTTTGCCCCACTCTTGGATTTTGCCCGGAGTTGGATATGTTGTTTCTTATTACAAGACACGCCTTTTTCCGGCATTTGCAAGTTCACCCGAAATTTTTCCCGCGCGCTACAGTGTTGCAAAGTTGAAAACCGGCAAATTCCGTAAGTGGCATTAAAATTGAGCTATGAAGTTGCGGTTTTAACGAAAATTCTCTATAAAGAGTAGAAGGGGGGACTAGAAGTCTTATTAACTATTACCTCTTTCTACTTAGTACAATAATAATCAAGTCCCCGTCACCCCGCCGACCAACGCGTCTGTCGATCGAATCAACTACAGGCAGTATGAGCAGGGAGTCAAAACGCCTTCAATTTTTTGAACGCAATACGGACATCCGTCGAGGTTGTATAGTTGTATCAAGGTGCCGTGCCGCTCCAGGCAAAATTGCGTATTGGTTTCTCTCTCAGCTAGACTAATGAAAGGTAGTCTCTTGTATCACCGAAAGAAGAACAAATTAGAAATTATTAAAACTTAATGGATGTCCGTATCGCACCGACTGAAGTGCGAAACCACGCATCTCCATTGCGGTGTTTCAAAATTTCCGTTCTTTTTTCATCTCTTCCATGAGAAACCATCCAAATTTACGACTTTCAATTTTGAACCGAATCTTCTGCTATCGAAAGCGAAAAATCATGGAGAATTTAAGTTTTATGTTGACCAGCTTCTCGAAAGGAAAATAAAATTTCTAAGGAAGTCTGCAACGTCGCAAATGGAGAAACGTCGTCCTCATTTTGCCTAAAAATATGTATGTATAAAATTGAAGGCATTATGACTTTCCTCTCTCAACTTATATTCGTCTGTAACGGTAAACAATGGGACGCGTTTGCTACGGCGAGGCGCAGCGCTGTGCAAAAAGCAATGATGACGAGGACTTGAGATGAAAAGGAGGAGCCCTCGGCGCGCCGGTCAGCATGAAACACATATTAGCGCCTACAACACTCCATGATTACTTCACGCATTGCGTCAAAAACAGTGCGGTCAGCAGCGGTCTGCGTGAAATGCATAGCGCCTACAAGACTGTAGGGACACTTCACGGAATGCGCCAAACACAGTGCGGTCGGCGCGATGGCGGAAATTAAACTTATTAAACCACATTCATGTTTATTCTTCCATAATTTTTTCGTTCATTTCTTATAACTGAAAGGTCTTATCCACACAGAGATAGGTTTACGAAACTTAACTTTTGCGCTAAGTTCCGTTGTTGACAGAGCTTTCACAAAAAATGTGTTCAACACGAGTAAACGTGTCTTGTGCACCCTTCCTCCTCCGGCACGTTCACTTAATGGTTTGTATTGATGTTTCAATCAGAAGGGGGAGGCAAAATACAGGCGGCCCATGGGCGCCAAGTAGGTAAATCCGGCCCTGTCCATAGAGGCGCTTTTCCGAGATACGCATTTCTGCACTTTCACCATCGAATTACTTTTGGAGCCTTCGCCAGTGGAGGCTACGAACCCCAACTTTTCTTATGAATGGCAACTATCCTAATGTGACACATTATTGAATGGATATTATAAAAAGAGAATTTTTGGTGCAAATTTTAGGTCAATATCTCAATGTTAGACAAAAATGCGGCTTGAAAACGACAAGAACCGTTCAATTTTGATTATCAATACCAATTTTTAGGTGTGCCCCTTAGTTCGCTTGAGAGATCTCTAAACATTTTTTTTTTTTTTTTCGAGATGATTACCTATTCATTTAGACACATCATTGCATATTTTGAGCAAACTTCAACCTTATTTCATCTCAAATCTCGAAAATAAGAGAGACTTCAACGCGCGTTGATGACAGCGCAGAGATACAACTACACCTTGACGGATGTCCGTGATGCATCTGCAAAATTGAAGGCGCGATGGCGTGAGGCGTGAACTCGCGATGCTCCGCTCTATTTTATGCTGCTAACGAGGTCTCGCTCAGATTCGGGAGGAAAGTTAAGAAACGAGGTGGTCACGTCTCTCCTATCTTCGGCTGTGTTGTTCACGTAGCCCTTGAAGCACCACCACAAATAGTACAAACGGTCCTAACACAATGTGGTTATAGAGCAAAGAAAAGAATGAGCGTTAATAGCGGCGCAGAGATACAACTATTCGAGCTTGATGGATGTCCGTGTTGCATCTGCAAAATTGAAGGCGCCATGGCGCAAGGCATGAACTCGCAACGCTCTGGAGAATTTGCAAGGGTCTGAAATTTGATGAATTTCCTGTTTAAGTGGAATCCTCTGAGTGAACTGAACACGAAGATACCCTTGATTCATAAATTGAGCAACTATTAGAGGAGATATAACAAAATAACCGATTCTGCTAAAATACATGTGTTTAAATGGGAAATGCCGCCAGATGACGTCACAAGGCGGCACATTTTCTCACTTTTAAATCAATTTTTCTCCAATTTCCCATGTCAGAAAAAAATTATGAAAAATATTGCGAACTCAGCTCATTAGGCACTTTCAGATGAAGCAATAAAAAAATTGCGTGCAAATTCTCCAATTAAAAGTGCGGAAGAGGTGATTATTTTTACTTACTATTGCGGCCCGGAACCCGAATTGAAAGTGGAGAGGCGTCCTTGTAAAGATGAATTGGTAGTTAAACGATAGTTCATTCAACTATCAATTGAATGAGCATGCGTGAAAGAGCATGAGAGCTCGAGCTCTACAGCTTCACGGAATAATGTGATTCTCTAATTTCGCATCTATCGTAAGGTCGTAATAAATCCACCCGTGGATCAAAAGATTGCATAAAATGAAGGCAGGTCTGACTGTTAAAAATCTCATGCGAGTACACCAGGTTTAGACTTATCATGCCTAGATAGTTGTAGGTATACAAAGAAAGGAGAAGAAGAAAAAAATTAACGGAAGAAGAAAGAATTTCAAATTTTATCTCTAAATTTTGTACTGTCTGACTTAACCATGAATCATTGCTGTAGAAAATCTGTTCAGCACGCAATCATCGCAAGTATCGTCGGTCTGCCTGTAATATTCAAATGAACTTGTATAAATTATGAAAAGGTATATATTACATGAAAATAAAAAAAATAAACCTGGAAATTTGTAGAGCAACAACTGGACTGCATTTTGCAATTTGGACCTGTAAGTTCTGGCTTATCTGAAAAAACACGTATGTGCATAGGGAAACTGATAGCACATACGTTGTTTTTGAACCGGTCCGGAATTTATAGTTCCTAATTGCAAAATGTAGTCCAATTAGCAATCAGACAAATGGACTACGTTTTGCAAATTGGACCTATACATTCTAGCCCGCATTAAAAACAACGTATGTGCCATTTTTTTCCCTATGCACATAAGTGTTTTTCCAGAAGAGCCAGAATTTATAGTTCCAAATTACAAAATGCAGTCCAAATGTAATTATTGCATCTTTTTCAAAACGTCAAAATTAAGTTTTCATTAATTTTGAGCCTGAGCCACTTATGGTAAAATTTTCAAAAAATTTAAATAATCTTCATAAGTATACTTTAAAAAATTTATTGACATTTTGCATCTCTGGTGCTGCATACTTGCAGTTGCAGCCAGCGGAGCGGCCAACCTGGCAACCTTGAATAATGCTCTCGTCGCTGATGACGTCACATTGTTATTGACTTGAAAAGTAAGGTTATGTCTTGATCAGATGTATTGCGTGATAAGTGCTCAGACAGTTTAATTTTTTGCTTTGATCGTATATTGTTCCCTCGAGGTGTCTCTAAATTTCTACCTAACTACGTATTTTTACCGTGTTTTAACTATCAATTGTTGCGTGTGATTGCAAATTGCCGTAAATTACTCATCTCAAAATTATATATCCGTGTAAAAACTCTGCAACCTTAAGTGAACGAGCCAACCTCTAAATTTGTGTAATCCAAAAAAGACCATAAAAATCTCTGTTTTATTCGTTTCAATCCAAGTTCAATATACTCATCAATTGCAATGATGAATGGACTCATTCCTAAGGGACTATTAGATATCTAGAACTTCAAATGGCCTGACCAATGTTATCAATTATGCAGAACTTTCTAGAGGCTTTTTCTGATTAGCCCGCAAGACCACCTTGTCACTTTTTATCTTTTGTTTCGGTTTTCTTCCTCGTCAGTTTATTCTCTGCAGTAATTCATCAATGGCGGAAAAACTCAATAACAAAGGATCCGAAACGAGTGTCACGGTGTTGGATGAGCCTGGCAGATCTCAACAGGATGTTCCTCCGTCAATACCTGCGGTGCGATTGAAGCTGAAGAAACCAAAAAGTCAGAAGTCAGTCAAATGGGGAGAAGACACTGTTGATAATGAAAATATGAACAAGAAAAAGTCCAAGTGTTGCTGCATCTACAAAAAACCTAAACAAAATTTTGATGACAGCTCATCAGAAGAGTCAGATGACTGTGAAAATTGCTTTGGTCATGTCGAGCTTAAAAAGCTACAGAAACAGACCGCTAACTAAATTGTCAGACAACTTTGAATAACATGCATCATCTAATCTTACTTTAATCATACATTGTCTGTAAACAAATCCTGAAACTATTTGCATGTAATGATATACATGTATTGATGATCTCTTTAAGTTTAACGCTACTCCATGCCTTACCTGACCCAATAAGAAGAGAACAGCGAGCAACTGTTATCAAAATTGCCATCAGGATCATTCTTTAAGCGTTTTTTTTTTTAGAAAATAAATCACAATCGCGCATCCATCCATGCAGAAACCTCACGTCTGGATGTCGCCATTATTATATACCCCCAAGATGAAAATACTCACCTCATCTCTCCAAAGTTAGTGCTCAGTTTCTGAGCATGACAAATTTGCTTGTTCGAGCTCACTGTTGGGCTTCTTTGATCCAATCTCACCAATTCTGATCCGGTAAAAGGATGAAATCCAATTTTCTCCTCTCTGACTATTTTCTTCTTTATCTTGTCCTCTTGACATCATGAAAACTCTTGTCCTGTCAGTGTGGATTTTTATTAATCTGATCCTGTTCGGAATGTTCGGCTACATACTCTTAATTTGGTCACAACATTGGCACGCTGTCTCGCATAAGCACCAAATAGAAGCACTTCCTGAAGAATCTTTTGAACGGCCACTTGTAGAATACTTTAATGATGACTTCAAACGATTTATGGACAACATAGAGCGCCCTCGACTAGAGAAACGCAGCAAACCACCTCTGATGATGATCCCTAAGGAAACCCCTGTAGAGCCAGCTGCATCCTCATTTAACGATACCTTGAATAGGTGAGAATCCTTTAATCAATGACTAGTTTGTAAGAAACATTATTCGTGGGGGGAGCTTTTTTTTAGAACAAAACATTTCACGCACCTTTCACACTGTCTCCTTTAATCCACTCACACAATCCACCATCTAATGCAAGGAAAGCAGTCATTAAAGTTTGAAAATTTATTTTTAGTAGTAACTAACCTACTTACTGTTTTCTTCTTGAATACCTCCATTCTTTTTGCCACTATCTTCCCAATTTAGGTCTATTGATTAAAAATTTTCTGTAGTAGAGATTACAAAATGATGGTTTTTTTTTTTTTAGTGAGAAGTGTGACAAAGTTAAAAACGCACTGATTTTAGGAATTATTTGCTCAATGCTTCCTTTTTAAAACCTTTCCTGAGCACTTCAGATCGTAATGTTGTAAGTCTCCGCTTATTTTATTTTTTTTTAAAAAGGAAATCAACTGAAAGTCTTATTGAAATTTTCTTCACTCATTCTGAGAAAATCACACAAAATTGTAAGGAAACAATTTTCTTTTCTCTTGATGAGAATAAAACATCAACGGAAGTTTTTAAACATTGCAATTGAGGTACTTAGCACTTATTACAGGTAGAGTTGTAAGACTGCAGTCACAGCACTGACAGTAAGTCACTCTACAAAACTGCTCAATTTCAGTAAGGAACCTAATTGCTTTCTAGGTCTATTTTGATTTGTTTTCCAATATTTTTCAGAGTAAAAGCACATAAAAATTCAATAATGTTGCGCCTTCGTAGAGTGTTATATTCGGAGAGTGATGTTCAAAAATTTCAAGCTTCAAATCCCTACAATGTGAACTACACAGGCCTATATGGCACCCAGCAAGGTGGAATGTCCAAAGAAAGTCTTCTTTGTTCTCTGAAACAGAGGCTCCCTTTCATCAAAACTCTTCGGAAAGAAGATGTACCCTTCAAAGAGAATTTAAGTAAATCTTTATTCGAAGACCATATGCTTGGTTCTGGCAAACGATACCAAAAATGTGCCATCGTTAGTAATGCTGGTTCTCTCATTAACTCGAAGTCTGGTTATTTTATTGGTAAGATTTATGTCTTATCATAATCTTTTTGTTGTCTGTAGTGCTGGTTTTAAACAATTTATTTTTGCATCATTGTTTACTTTCTAGAGTTCCTCTGCCCTTTATTCAGAGTCCTTGGGAAAGTACAGTCTCTTCGCTGAAGTACCCAACTGTAATGATTGTCTCCTGTAATTTGTTTCCCTTATTGTGCATGTTTGAAGCCTTTGATTGTACCTTTTCCATGCATCTCCTTTATTTGGTTCATGTTATCGATGGTTAATTTACTTAGTACAAAATTTCTTCTTTCTCTAAGTCAAACTCATTATTTTGTTTCAGTAGTATTTTATTTATTTATTTGTCATAAAAGGAAAAGTGTTTACAAAATATAAATAGTGATAATACAGTGAAATTTAGTCGTGCCATCGAGCACAGCCCGTTCGGCAGGACAAATACATTTTACATTTACCAAAATCAAATACAAGATTCAGCTTAGTTTTGTTAATTTTAATCTGGACGGCTGAGTAGCTACCAAGTCCTTGTTTCGTGGTGTTGCTTTAATCAAAGTGACTTCCACCCAATAGTAAACTGGTTTGAAGCTTGTTGGGCGCCCTAACAAGCTGTAACTGGAGGATGGGCTCTATCTCAATCTAAATATGTTCATCAGTAAAGCAAGGGAGAAACTATTCAATGTATGCTATTCTGCAGTTTCTTCTCTCGCTGAATACCTACATCCTTGGAAATTATTATGTAAAAAATGAAACTATTGATTTCAATTTGCTTTCAGACGACCACGATTTGGTTCTGAGATTCAATCATGCACCCACAGACGGGTATGTTGAGGATGTGGGAATGAAGACTGATATTCGAATCGTCAATTCAAAAGTTGCCTCTAATCCAAAGTTTGAATTTCTTTCCTCTCCTCGTTTTCGGAATGTCACAATCCTTGTTTGGGATCCATGCAGTTATTCTTCCTCCTTGAAAGAGGTAAGTTAAATTAACACTTCATGATTTAGTAGACCCATTTTTATGACAAGCTTATGTTCCTGAGCAAGCTAAATTGTCTTTTTTATTTGTCACCAATTTCAAGTTCTGCAGAGTAACAAATGTTGAATTTGAAACATGCTGTTTTTAATAAAACATCTCCTGGTGCCAACAGAAAAAAGAAAGACAGGTACTTACATTGATGACTGAAATCTGAAAGTATGAATAGGGCTGGACACACGGTCAAAGTGGAGCTTCAAAGTGGTAGTTGTTTAGTCAAGTGTTGAGCATCAATGTGTCAAAATAGAGGTAATGGAGGTCTCCTTGGAAGGTAAGCGATGGCAAGACTTGGCTGAACAGCCACCACTTTGAAGCTTCATTTTGAATGTGTGTCCAGCCCTAATCTCAACATGCGATTTTTCAAATGTCCCCTCGTCTTTTATATTTTGAAAGGAAAACAACTCATTATGATTTCTGGAAATGCTTATTACTTTTTCTTTTTTCATTATTCTGTTATGATTATTCTGTAAAAATTTGAAGCCACACACTCGCTAGGAAAATTTTCAAAAAGTTCTAGGCCATTTTGTCTTTTGGTGTTCTGCTAAAAAAAAATGCGAAGGCTGAGAAAAATTTGGCGTTCTTATTTGCTAAATTTTTCTAACTAAATTTAATATGGCTGATTCTGATTTGTGCTGTCTAACTTATCTTCATCATCAAAAAAACGTTTTCTCAAAGAACATAATAAAAAATTTCTTACTTCCAGTGGTTGGCTTCTCCAGAACATCCTTTTTTGGAGCCATTTATGAAGCATCGTAAACTTTACCCGAAGAATAAATCTTACATCCTCGATCCAAGGCAGCTATGGATTTTGTATGATTATTTGCAGGCCCACACTCCTGTTCGACTGAGACCCAATCCCCCTTCTTCCGGACTTTTAGGTGAGCATTGCTAAATTTTGCTGGTTTCATTTTTTGTACCTAAGGTGTTGTCAGTGATTAAATTAAAACTGATTAATTTTGGCCATGAAACAGTTGATATAGGTTTTCAAGCTCTCTTTAAATCAAGTTATGTTTGAAGAAAGATGAAACTAAACACAGTTTGTGGGGCCAGCTATCCGCGTATCTGGCTATAGACAAAGAGCTATTCAATTTGAATGGGTCAGGAATGCTGAATGCTCCAAAACGCTGACCGTTTACACCGGTCTGATGTTTTGCTTTACAGTCATTTTACCATTTTCGTTATTTTTTCATCAATTGTCAGATTTTATGGCAAATTGCCCAATTTAACAATAAAACAAGTCGTGTGCTCAACTTTTCAAAGAATCTATTAAGGGAAGGTCATCAATTTTGAAGATTGCCTCACAACTTCCAATTTGCCTCTTGTTTGCTGCATCCTGCATTTTCTGCACATAGTTAATGCGTGTGCCGCAAGCAGCAGTTAAAGGATAAGGACGAGTCTTTCCTTGAGTACCATTGCTTGTAAATAACTTTACGTGAAAAGGCAGAGCCAAACATTTATTCCTAATGTCATAATCTGCGTAAATAGTTTGCCTTTTTTGTCTCTGATAGTTTATTGAGTCAAAGATTTATGACACATGAAAAGCCCCAGGAAAATACTAAATAGTGAGAGATACGTGACACTGTTTCTCAGATAAAAGCAGACAAAAAGGATACTTGTTGTATTAAGTGTTGATTGTACTTCTGTTCTTCTTATTATGTTTTTGTGATGTTACACCTTCTAAAGCAGGAAGCTTAAATGCAGACAAATTATCATAGGAATTGCAGGCTGATTGTTTGATCTTTAGACAATTCTAGTGTTTATTCTTGTGCTAAATCTGATTATTGAGCGGTTTCGTACAACAGGCATTCCTTATTTTTTCTTCAGCTAATGTTTGCACTGGGCCAATTGCAGCACAGAGCTTCAGACTTTCCATCATTGTATTACCTCAACTTTTTTAATCGAGGTCACCATAGTGCCCCAGAAAAAATGCATGGCAAAAATCATGGTTGTTTTCAGCCCTTAAAGTATCTCCCTTACATTAGGTTATATTTTGAGTTAGGTGTGTTAATTTAGAGTGAAAATTAAATTAAAAACCTTGTAGGAAGTAAATATGAACAAAATTGTGAAAAAAATCAAGAAATTTATGCAGGATTGGTTGAATCTAAACGTTTAGTGAAAGTATAGCGAATTGGTTTTTGGTTATGTTACTAATTCCGCTTGGTATAAAGTGGATGCAAAAACGTTGTTACGTAGTTAAAAAAAAGTTTAAATTAACATTGCAGCAATGTTTTTGTAATGTTTTAATGAAGTTTTTTTTGGGCAATTGCTGGGTGGAATGACATCACCCATATTAACTTTAACTGTTTTGCTTGGGGTATTACCGTAGTTAGTTAGTTAATTGTGAGCTATAACAAACTATCAATCATATGTTTTCTTAAAAAGTAGTATGGTGTAATGGTGGTATGTAGTATGGTGGGTGGTTTGTTCCCTTTCCTATAATTTTCAAATACATAGACAAATTGGACTGACCGTGTTGATGCTTGTTTTTATAGGGCTAGCTCTGCTCTTGCCACACTGCAATGTTGTCAACATGATCGAATTTGTCCCATCTGTACGTCTCACCCAACGATGTCACTACTTTGAGCCGCTTATGGATGAGCACTGCACTTTTGGAGTTTGGCACCCACTTGCTGCTGAAAAGTTTTTAATGATCAACATGAATTCGGCCTCTGACATTAAAACCTACCAAAATGGCTACGTATCAATTCAAGGTTTCAACACATTGAAGTGCAATTAAATATTTATCTGCTTTGTATCTCAATTTTAAATTGTTGACTGCCATTACCGTTCAGAATTGCCTGTAATCAATTGCTGTTTCAAAAATCTTTCAAAACATCACGAAAACCAATTTTAAATGAACTAAAAAATTTCATAAATTTTAAAATTTAATTTCAATTTAAAAATAAATTTCTGCACTGTGAAAATTTTCAGAAAGCCCATTCAGATTGAGATTTCACAAAAAATATACAAATGATCTCAAGTCATGCTAGAAGCTTTTCGGCAGATACAATTTTCAAAATGATAAATGTATTTTTATTTTTTGAATGTACCAATCATCCATACCAAGACGCTTGTGAGTAACTAATCGAGGCAAAACATCTGTTTATATTGTTCAGTCTGGAGTTACTCCTAATACTTAAATGTAATTTTTGAAATTATGGGTGAAACAGTCTTCAAAATTCAATCATATCTACAGCCAACTCGTCAAATTGGCATGGCAGTCAACATATATCAGTCTATGAATTTGTTTGTGCTTTATTTGTTAACTGGTGATTTTTATATGCTGTGGTTGCATTTTTTGCTGTCAGGTTATTTTAATGTGCGCTTTGTAAAGTCTTTGTAACATGAGAAGACTCTGTCAAAGAAGTCAGTAAGAATTTATAATAATTGGAATGTCACTGGATAGTGTGACAAACAGACAGAATGTACAAATCTAATCTGCTTTTGCTTAGTATTTATAAATTCGGTTTACCTGAAAAGTATACTTTTTATATCTCAAAGTGTTTATGTACCAGAAGCAAGTGGCTGTCCAGTTGATTAGGTAATATTTTCTTCTTAATGCTGAAGTACTTCGTTTCTTTGGTTCCCCAACAATCCCTTCACTTAAATTGATCTTTAAATTATTCTTCAATTCTAGTTCAGGATGTTGGTCTTATTTTCGGGTCTTCCCTCCTCTTGGAGAATCTAGAGCAATTGAAATTTTTGACAATTAAAAACCTCTTAGGTAAAAGAGCACTTGCAGTTAGCAATGCTGCTAAGATTGTGCAATTTTTTATAGCGTCTGCAGCAAATGAATTCCATTCACAGTCAACTTTTTTCCACATTAAAGCAAGGAAAAATTCATAGCAGAGCTTTTGCGTAGGTTTTTTGTAATTATAGCACTACCTTGTACAATGGTATCAGCTTTGGAAGTCTCATAAGTCTTTTTACCAAAGAGGTCCTGTCACATTTGAGTGGAAGAGCTTTGAATAAAAATAGAAAATTTTGAGTAACGTACACACACAGGTTGAAGATGGAATGGACCAAAAATAATGGGCAGCATACGCTTTTATAGACTTGATGATGCCACGGGTGGCGAGACTTCAAGTCCAGACGCGATTGGCTGGCTATCAGTTGCAAGTCTAGTCATTAATTTTATGGGTGATGGCTGGATGATAGGACTGAAAAGATGAAACATGAACAGAACCAAGCCATACCTAATGACTGTAAATAGAATTTAAATGAAAATTTGGAAGTTTATATGGAAGGAAAAGAGCGTGGCTATTCTGAAGGCATACGTGACAGGTCCTCAATTTCAAATTCCAGTAATGCTCAGGGAGTTTACTCAAAATTTCGGGGAATTTATAATTTTTTTTTGCACGGATGGATCTTTTCAATAATTTGAAAAGAGTTTGAAAAAATAAGAGCGCACTGTATCTCCTTTCAAAGCGAATTGCAGCAGATGAGAAACAACCTTTGGGCAATTCTGAGCTGATAAGAATGTGAAAAAGAACGAAGAAAACTGGAAGGCTGTCAACCTTTGCAGCAACATAACACAATAGCATTAGTATTAGCATTAAGTATAGCCCTGCACTAAGTGACATTGCTCAGAAAACTAAATTACTTTAATAGCAATCTTTTATTTTGTCTCTCAACTTCTTCAGAAATCTGTAGTCCCTTTTGTGATAGTTGCTGCACCTATCTCTCTCCTCTGATGATGAGTATGGTCAAGTTTTAAAGATCAGTTTATGCCCTAGCTACCAGCACAGCTCTGTGAACGGATAAGAAGAAAATTTTTTCTTCAGTTTTCCTGGATGGAAATACAACATATAATTGGAGTGTTAAACGTTGCAATTTTTCTATTTAGCCATTGTTACAATACGCGGAAATGGAAGTAGCTTTCTTTTGCTTTACACTGACATCCTGATCTGTAAACTTTTAGATAGCGCTACAAGCTCAATGAAAAAGAACTTATCTTCCCTAAGGTTTCCTCAATGACAGTAGGCATTCAAGAAACCAAATGTTTTCATGTATCACAATTTATTCATTTAAAACAAACAAAAAAATGTATAAAAATATACAGTTTAAATCTTATGCTCTAGAACTAATGGATAGCTTACTTCTAAAATACTTTCAGTCTTCAGAAACTTATTACTAATATGTCACTCTAACAATCAATCTGGCAAAGATTATTATCCATTTATTTCAGCTGTGCATCTTACAATTTTTCACTGGAAAATTAATGCTTCGATTTTGCCTTCATTTGCCGTACTCAAGCTTATAGTATTTGTTTCGCAAAGAATATGTTACTCTTAAGTTAAGCTTAAAGATTGCTCTCACAGAAAAAAGTTAATGTTGTAGAAAAAAACAGTAGTTCAGAAGAAAAGTTTAGGTTGCTTTACAAATTAGCTATCTGTAAGCCAGAAATTTTAAATGCCACTGTTTACTGTTGCTTTTTTGTACTCTTTTTGTAATCGTGAAACTACAGTTTTACTTGAGATACTTTGTAGTGTACCCATGAGTGAACTGTGCATTGAAAATTGTTTCTTTTCTTGCCTTCTTGAATCGAGTTGTGTCCTTGTAAAACATGCCATCCCATTTTTTCTGAGACTCCTTTTTTACTAATCCTATTGAAAGCCAAAGCCTCCTATCTGTGCTTTCTGACTTTTACTGGAAAAGTGCATGTAGAGCCTAATACATATCACCATTCTGTTGGAAAGAGTAAATCAGAGAAGTCAAGCTTCATAGGGAAAAAAAAGCATGTTAGAAAAAGTAGATGGCATCTTTTTAAATTACACATGTCCACTATGCAAGCGTTGTAGTACACAGATGAAAACTGCTAAGTATTTTCAAGGGAGTCTTGCGCTTCAGCATGAAAATAGTTTCCTCATACTTATAATTCTGGTGAATCTGGATCAAAGAAATCAACATTTACAAGGCACATTGAAACATCATATTGTAACATTATGGGAAATGTGCTGTCTTCTTTCCTTGAATTTATACAGCTTATTAGTGTAGCTTAATTCCATGATTCTCATATCATTTTAAAGTAGCATGGAGAACGTTATGTAGTTTTTTAAATTTGACTGATTCAAGATTAAAATAAAAGTATAGTAGGGAATTTTTGCCTTACCTTTATTTAGTCTTACTTTTGTGCTGAGTTAAATGTTATTGAATACTTTCCCTATTATCCGTAAATTTGATGGAAAGGCAATGGGATATTCACTGACTCCAAGTAACCCATAGCCTAGAAGTATACCTGTTTGCAGAAGTAACTGAGAATACTGTATCAGTATAATCATCAGTAACTAATCATGCCTAAAAATTTTTAGTTTTAAAATACCATTGTTTACTTGTTGTAGGCTGTTTTAATTTATTTCACTTAACTATATGAATTTTGTACATCTTTGTTTTTGATAATATAGATTTAATGTATAAAAACTGTGTAATCTGTCTTTCTGTTTGCTGCCTCGGCAAGTGTTTATATTAATTGGACTTCATTTTGCAATCGGGAACAATGATTTTTAACTCTTTAAAACCAAGTACTCTTCATTAGTTTCTCTGTGTGGATAGATAAGGAGTTTCTATGGACAAGTCAGAAATAGTGCTTCCAATTACAAAATGTAGTTCAAAATATGTTTTATCAATTTATCTTGACCACTGAAATTCATTTAAACTGATGTTAAGACTGAAAGTTCCAATACCACGATTAGGACACTGTATGACGTTAAATTTTAATATTTTGAGTTGTTGACTTGTAGGTTTGTAAATTGGGGCATCATGTTAATTTATGGATTTCAAAAGCTTCTATAATTCTTTTTACAATACAAGGTACCTCATTGGTCGCATGAAAAATTCAGAGGAAAAGTAATTTGTCTCGACTAAAGAGGCTCGAAACTGCTATTTCAATTCCTTCAATTTCCATTTTGCATCGTGAATTGATGAACTGTTAATACCCAAGAAAAATTAGGAATCTCTCTGAAATTCACAGAAGTCACAGAGGCAGAGGGGAGTGTCTGAGGAAAAGAAACATATTCAAGTGTGTGATTATTTCACTAAAGCTAATTTTGATCTGGTGCATGAGAAATCTACTTATTGATGGCTGGAGTTAAAAAATACATACTTATTTCCATTGATAATTTTAAAAATAATTCATTAGTCTTTCATATTTTTTTAAAAAGAAAGAACTAACCATAATATCTTCTCGAACTTTTCTATTTGTAACTATTTTAAGATTGGTAAAGAAAATCCACAGAAAATTTCAAAAGTAGTTTTGATTGGTTTTCATTTAAAAGAATTAAACCCGAGTTAACACCATCCATATTGCAATCGGAGTCGGAGGTGGACATTTTCCAAATTTACCAATCTAGATATACCTCAGAAAACTTTTCAGGATGACATTCAAGAGACAACATATGTTTGAATAGCTACAATAATGATACTTTTTTAGCCACAAGACCCTACCTGTACAAATAACTTTGACTTTTACTCCTTGTACTAATTTTGCTGTACTTGTAACCGCTTCTACAGCTGCAATGCAGGTAAATGTACAATATTAACATCAGGCTAGCCAGAAAGTTGGCAATGGAAGAACCAATCAATAGTACAGTTAATATATGTCTAACTTGAAGACAATTGAGATCAAAATAGTGATATGAACTACCAAATACATAAGTTACAACATCAAAATATTCAAAAGTTGGATTGATTACTCCATCACAAACGCAGGTTGTATTAACAGTGTTTATTGGTTGGCAGGTAGCATCGTATAAGAATACCAAATGGAGAACTGCGCTGATTCCTGCTGTCAAACAAGCAACACAAGCCACTCCTGTGATAAGCAAGGATAAAACCTGAAAGAAGGAAAAAATTAGTTCATTGAGCACTTGCAAATATTGCTTACGATGAAATGAAATTTTGAGTGGCAATTTTTTTGCTCCTACGGGTATAGGAAGCCTCGTATAGAAACTAGCAATGAAAGTGAGGCCAAGGGAGTCATGAGGAAATAAAAGGAGTCGTGAAAATTTAGGTAACTCTTCAAGAGGTAAAACTCAAGCCTACTCTAGCCCTTTGTGGGTAGTTACCTTATGTTACAGAGAATCACTAAATATCTCTAATTTTGTCGTCTTTCTGTGATACAATAGACAGCACCTTTAATCAGTCGAGTTAAGACTAAGAGAGAAACCGAACACGGAATTTGGCCCGGAACAGCGCGGCGTAGAGAGCAATGATGACGAGAACTTGAGATGAAAGGAGCAGAAACCCTCGGCGCGGCGGTCGGATGTAACACATATTAGCGCCTACAAGACTGCATGAATACTTCCCGCATTGCGTCACAGACAGCGCGGTTAGCTGCGGGCGGCGTGAAACGCATAGCGCCCACAGGACTGTAAGAATATTTCACGCAATGCGCCAAACACAGTGCGGTCGGCGCGGTGGAGGACATTAAACTTATCAAACCACATTCATGTTTATTCTTCCATAATTTTTTCGTTCATTTCTTATAAATGGAAGGCCTTATCCGCACAGAGATAGGTTCACGGAACTTAACTTTCGCGCCAAGTTCCGTGAACTTTTGCTAGTAGTGTTGACAGAGCCCTCGCAGAAAATGTGTCGAACACGAGTAAACGCGTCTTATGCACCCCTCCCCTCCGGCACGTTCATTTGATGGTTTTTATTGATGTTTCAAACCGAACGAGAAGGGGGCGGCAAAATACAGGCGGCCCATGGGCGGCAAGTAAGTAAATCCGGCCCTGTACTCCAAAAATTGAGTCATCAAAATCTTAAGTGCAAATAAGTATAATATCTTCCTTTCAATTTTTCTCCTTTTTCCAATGGAGTTAGTCTCCACTGATTTAACAAAAACTGAATGAGTTTTTGATAGTGAAGTTGAAAGTAAAATTATGCATTGATCATACTCTTACCTTAAATACTAAAGCACACGAAGAGAGTGGTAACCCTGGATGATCTTTTCTAAAGCAGCACATCAACATGACCCCGAAAACCCCGGAGAGGGCCAGCTGAAAAACAAAATACATAATAGACTTGATGTAAATGGGGATTTCAAAAATGCCGGGAGTTCTGTTCAATGATTTCTTTCAAGAATTCCTAGTTAAATTCTCTAACTGGAAGTCCATACGTAAGTACAGATTGATGAAATAGTATCGTCTCCCTTGTATAATTCGCATCGCACAGCTGTCAAAATGTAGAGATTAAAGAGAAAACTGAGACGAAAATAATGAGAGTAGGTATTTTCAGAAATAATACAATTGAGTACATTTGGCATACATTTCGCAATTAGGAACCACATTTCTCGCTCATTTTTAGCAACAGCATGTGCAGTTAGTAATATTCCCCTACAGATAGGTGCTTTAACAAATGAGTGAGACATGGTAGCTTTTTAATTACCGTAAAACCCAATCCATTTGACACAATAGTATCATTTCGACGGCCTAAGTGCGAAACCGCGAATCTCAAGTACGGTGTTTCAAAATGTTCCTCCTATTTCATTTTTTCGAAGAGGAACAAGCCAACTTTAAAGCCTATGATTATTTATACTTAGCGTACAAAACCGCAAAGCAACTATTCGACCTGCAGAGCGTGACACAGTAGGTATCACTCTTAATTGAAGGCGAACTCAACGTACCGACTCACTTGGTCGATTTTTTGACTATTTAATTCGTTGCAGGAATAATTGGCTTGGTGAGTTGGAGCGTCTTGTTCGCCTTCAATCTTGAGTGATACTGTGCCACACTTGGGTGGTTGAATAGTTGCTTCACGCTTGAGTAAAGGCTGAGTATGGGTCGCGTTCAATTTCATTGGGATTCTTTAAAATCCTGCGAATCAAGCAGTTATAGGAATTGGCCTTGTGAGTTGGTGCGTTAAGTTCGCCTTCAATTTCGAGTGATACTGTGATACGCTCAGGTGGTCGAATAGTTGCGTTGCGCTTTTGTACGCTAGGTATAGGTCATCTTCATTTTTAAACTTTAACTGTGCACAGTAGCGGAACCGGGGAGAATAAGTTCTAAGATTTCTCTTTTTACCTCTGAAGTAAATTCTCAGCAATTTTTCCAACCAATTTAACCCCAATTCCCTCCAATCTTTTTATCATATCCTTCAATTCGCCAGGTATTTCATTCTGTCTTTCGTGCGAGGTTTTCGTCGTTTTCGTATACTCATTCAAGAAACTCCGATTTCTTTGAGGTCACTCGCCTGTTGTCCCATTTACGGAATTCGGCTTAATTCATTGGTCAGTCCGTGGGCAGCCAGTTTTAGGATTATTGGCCAATTTTCCGGCCACACCGCAGTGTTGCCGATGCGACCTGTCATTCTGCGAAATTAGCAAAAAAAAAACTGCTCATTCCGCGATCCAGTAGAAGAATAATTGGACCGCGTTAAACAGAAAGGAACCAAGCCACATCAGCTATTGCCAAATTTAATTGGGCAATTTAATTTTTTACATGAAAACGGTTGTGTGGATTTTCGTGCAAATTTCAGTGAAAATTCTCCGTGGTGCGAAACAAATTCCTTAAAATGTTCAAAGGAATCCGAACAACCGTTCTCTCGTAAAAAATATAATTGCCCAGTTAAACTTGGCAATCGCTGATGTGGCTTGGTTCCTTTCTGTTAAACTCGGTCCAATTGTGACTTTAATGTTTACTCATTAAACGTATACGTACCAACGTTACGTATTATAGTGAGATACTTACAGGGATACCGCTCCAATAAGGTATTAGGGGAACACTCAGTCTCGGAGCCCACAGTATGAGCCAGGTCGCCAAAGAACAGACGACGAAGCCGAGAATAATTTGCAGAATGACTAGAGAGGTGGCCATTTTGTAGTCATAGATGATTGGCACTTGATATTTACGAGGAACTGTAACAAAAATAAAGGGAAATATATTTACACACTATCTCCTAAAGTTTCATTCAATAAGAATCGTAGGTAACTTTCATGAAGAAACTTATAAAAGGCGGTTTGACGTAAAAAATCAGGCCTGTTTATTTGTTATGGTAAATCATGCACTTTATTTTACTGAAAAAAGTTACGGGCGATGTAGGCACACCGGCCGTTTCGGACTCAGATGCCGAAAGTTCCGAGTGCTTTACCAGTTGCTTAGACTGCTCCGGGTGCCACACCCGGAACTTCCGGCCTCTGAGCCCGGAACGCGTCTATAAAGCCCTTAAGTTTGGCTTCCTTGGCCGGAGTTTTTTTCCGTGTTGGCTCTAATAAGTTCGATGCTTCAAGGAAACACAAGAAAGTAGCTCGGTCAAAGTTTAAAAGTTCAGACTATAGTTAATTTCACGTTGTGGCGAAGGCTTTTAGGTTCCTTCTGCTTTTTGGGTTTCTTCCATCTTGGTTTCATCAATCAGGGATGCATACATTCGCAACGGTTGCTTGATGTAAAACTCGACGTAAACTTGGCGTAAAATGCGGTGGTGACGTCATGCGCCGTGCTTTTGGATGAGCGATATCTCTATTAATATTGGACATGGAGTATTGGCGTTTGTGCTGATCTTATTACTTTTTGCTTATTTATAAGCTTAAATCACCAAAGCACGGTTCTGTGACCAGCGCAACCGACTCATTAGAATAATGGGCAAAAGCAGCCCCAGAGGAAATCGTGCTTTTACATTACTCCACCAAACTCTGAAAAAAGAGTAAAAAATCACACTGAAAAAAAGTTACCGGCTATTTAGACATACCGTCCACCCCGGGCTCAGAGGACGAAAGTTCCGGGTGCTGGAGCAGTGGTTTCGATAACTCCGGGTGCTACGCCCGGAACGCGGACGGTATGCCTATATCACCCGTAAGTACGGCTTCCACGGCCGGAGTTTTTTTTTTTTTTTTAGTGTACGAATGTATGATACTAGGAAGTAGGTATAATGTTTCCGCGAGGTGGAAGGCTGGCGGCGATGGTTTTTTTTTATTTCCGGTCGGAAAAAAAATAAACAAAAAAACATGCCAAAGCAGGGTCGATCCCTCCTTTAGTTTAATTAGTCGAGAGTAACGCCTCTAAACGAGGAAGGAATTATTTTTGGGTCCGCTTCTTGGATTTCTTCCAATTCTAGCCAACAATCCGCATGCATCGTAGGGGAGCAAAAGTCGAACGGTTTAAAAAATGGTCATGTTTTTTATTGTTCGGTTCTATCTGACTAAGATCCGACTTGGGTTCAGTGTAGCTCCAAACCTCATATAAACGCAAAACTTATCTCGCTAATTTCTCATAGTCGATTCAGCTTGCACTTTAAAAAGAAAGATGGATGATTTTTATCATAACACGACGTAAAAAATTCGTCTTTCCAATCCAATTTTTCAAAATCTCTGATTATGTTTCATTGTTTCCAACAGAAACTGATGAAAATATCTCTTCGGAATTTTTGGTAGGTATTTTCAACAGGAAGAGAAAATTCATGGAAAATTAGGTTACCCTCATTCGGATCTATAAGAATCAGCCATCAAAACATGATTCGGTGACATGCCCATTATCGCTCGACTTCCTCAATAACTAGGGTGCTACGTCCCCTGACCGCGTAGCGGTCCCACCCCCGAGGTGCTTTGCGCCTCAGACGTTACGCTTTCCTATAATACTGATATTATATTATAGAGTAAGGTAAATTTTTGTTATTGAAATCTCTATGTGAATCTTGCGTGTATGATTGATGAAAGAATACCTTTTCCGTGTTTGTTGAGAACGATCATGCGGCTGTGCCTGAGGGAGCTCCTGGTGGGTGCGTGGCGGCCGCCGATGGTGTTGTTGCTGATGTTTTGGGGGACGGTCGTGCTCATGTTGTGGAGTTGCGAGGGGAGGCGCTCCCCGCTGTTGCTGTTATCGATACTCTGGTTGATCTTCGTCCCGATCGCCGTCAGGTTTCCCACCGACATGGACCCGGAGCCCCCTCTGCAACCACCGCCGCCGCTCATCCCGCCGCAAAGACTCCCGCTTCCCATCAGCGAATTCGTCCGGCTCGACTGGAGGTTGTCGTACAGGCTCAGCGGCCGCTGATTCTGACCTGTACAGATTCATTCATTGATTTTCAATTCATTCCGATATCGTGCACAATGAAATGGACGTATTTCTGTGAAATGGAACTAAGCGCCATCGGGGGAGGAAGGGAGAGGGGGGCTTGGATTGACGGCGGAATCGAGCGTCGGGCTAGTTCCGTCCTATACTCGCAATGCTTTTCCATGGCGCTTAGTTCCGTTTGACAGAACGCGCTATATTCGGCATTCTAGTTTCCTCAAAAAGAACTCAAATTGGCGCTTAGTTCCGTTTGACAGAAATACGTCCAAATGAGTCAATGAGAGAGGTTGGACTATGTTGCCGTGCTAGGGAAAAACGCCGTATGAACATTCGAGAGTTGCCAAATTTCCTTCGATAAAATGTTTATTTTTTAGGAAATTTATGACTATTTTGCATTAAAATTTTTAGGAAATTTAGGTAAAATTGCGAACAAAATTATCTGAAAAATTGGAAGAAAAATATTTTTAAATGTTCCCAAAAATTCGTGATTTACCAGAGGAAATTTGGCAACGCCTGAAAGTTCATACGGCGTTTTTCCTTAGCACGGCAGTATGGTACCTACACTGGAAAAAATAGTTCAGTTCATAGGGCTCCTGTACTTTTTTTGTTATTACAGCGACAAAAGTTTCCGCTACGAGGACAGAGTACTCTGTGCTCACGACCGAAGTTCTGTTCTCACAACAGGAAAGCTCTGTAAGTATAATAAAGAAAGTGCGGGAGCCCTGTGAGCAGGAGGTTCTGTCATCAGCACCGACCATTTTTTTGGCGTGCACATTGGGAGAGTATGGACATGCCGCCGGTAATATTGGAGGGTGGGTCCTGAAAATTTTGGCTAGAAATCCTTAAGATTCTTTCAGTAAATATAGTTTTTTCAAGAAGAATTCAGAAAAATTGAAATGTAGTTACGTCTGTAGTACGTGTGAGGGAGACGACGAATTGGACTGCATATTGCAATTTTAAGCTATAAATTCTGGCTCATCTGAAAAAACACGTATGTGCATAGGGAAACTAATGGCACATACGTTGTTTTTAAACCGGGCCGGAATTTATAGGTCCAAATTGCAAAATGCAGTCCAATTATCCTATCGCCGAAGCATAATTTTAAATTTGCTTTTTAATTTAATTTTAATTTCGTAATATAAGGTGATATGAGGTAGATATCGTTGTTTTCCACGAAAGAACGTAACTACATTTCAATATTGCCAAATTTCCCCTCGGAAATTGAAATTTCGGCTGTAGACTTTCAACTGAAAACGGCACTGACTTTCAGCTGATATTATGCAAAAACGAGATAAATCTAGGACAAAAATTGCACAGGTATAGGCTTGTAAAATAACGAATCGTTTGATTCAATTTTGCAACCTTGGAATGGAGTTACGTTCCTTCGTCCGGGAAGCGAGGATTTGAGTAAAAGGGGAAAAAACGTGATACTGACCTGTACCGTTTGCCCTGGGAGTCAGCGGGGAGGGCGGCATCGTTGCGTGAGTCTGCGGGGGTGGCAGGAGTTCCGGCTCGAGGCCGCCCCGCGCGAAACCGCAGTAACTCGGATAGCTCATGGTCCCTTGGCCGTGGCCGTATCTGCCTCAGCGTGGCCGTATTCGCAGCGCCGTGGCCGTGTCCGCCTCACCGCGGCCGTATCTGCATCACCGCCTCGCCCGACGCGACGCGCGGGTGGTCCTCGCGTCCTCCGCCTCAGTTTATGGCTTCACCTGCAACGAAAATAAAAGTCTCATGGCCCTCTGTGAAGAAGAAGCGGGTGGATACACCGCGGAGAACAGTGAGAGGCGTATGCTTGCCCGAGTTGGACGAGATACGTGCCGACATAACCTAGAATTTGTGGTGGGATGACAAGAATGTAATGGGGTCTTTGGGAAAGAGAATCACTGTTTTTAGTGTCATCTTGGAGAAATTCAAAGAGGGAGGCCAAGGCGGGCTCGAAACTAATTTTGAACTGAGTCCCCTCAAAATTAACCGTTTCCTCGACATCGCACCACCAAATGAGAATAGAAAAGAGCCATATCTCATTATTTGTGTAACAATTTAAGCTCAACGAGTACATCACATTTTTCTGTTAAAAATTAGAGCCCATGAACGCTTTTTGGTGTTCCAAACAGGGATTGGACTTCATTTTGCAATGAGGATCTACTTCTACCTTATCCATCAATGCGCCTATCTGGATATGAACATTAATAGCACATAATATTGAACCTACAATAAGTCAGGAATAGTGGCTCCTTCTTGTAAAATGTGGTGAGATGCAATGTTCATCTCTTCCTCTGATTGTCGCGCGGATGAAGAGATCAGTACTTAGATTTCTTTTTCTCTGTCTTGACTGAATTCCTGTCTGTTAAACAGTTCTGTTCATTTTATACGGGGTCAAAAGGGATAGATCACGAGGTGCTCGTGCTCTTATCGCAAAGAGTCAATAATCAATTATTCTTTAAATGGATTTTGATAGGAAAATTGCCACTCTTCGTGTCAATTTTTCATCCTAAAATGGGGTGTGACAGGTGTCTGAAATTTGATGAGTTTCACGTTTAAGTGGAAACTACTGAGTGAACTGAACACGAGGATACCCTTGGTTCATGAATTGAACAATTATTAGAGAAGATATGACAAAATTATCTAATCTGCTAAAATACATGTGGTTAAGTGGGAAATGCCGCCAGATGACGTCACTAGGCGATGCGTTTTCTCAATTTTAAATCCATTTTTATACTATTTCCATATCAGAAAAAAATTATAAAAAATACTGTGAAATCAGCTCTTTCAGCACTTTCAGGTGAAGCAATAAACAATTTGCATGCAAATTCTCGATTGTTTAATAATGATCGGTGCTACACCCCGGTCTCAGCGTTTCGAAACGCAGCCGTACACTCCCCCTCTCCCTGTAACGGGGACCCCGAACGCATACTCAGAACCCGCCTCCCAAAGCGATACGTACTTTATGGTAGAGTACCTATATTGAGAGAGTATGGCCACTGGAGTTACCACCTCTGATTGGCTCAACCATCTTAGGCTGAATGGAGCCCTTAGGACCCAAAAATGGCGGACGCCATAAAGTTAATGTAATGCAAAATGATTCAAAATGTAGTTGTCTTTGCTTATCGTAACGAGAACTCTACCCTAATGCACTATTGCGACTTTATTACATATTTTTAAGGCTAATCGTGTGCAATTTTTGAGAAAAATGATCTTAGATGTAGTAAGGCTGGCAGCAAGTGCGGTTGGTGATAACCGTCAAAAGTTGGCAATGACCCCCCTCCCATCATCAAAAACCAAAACAAAGCACCGCCATTTTTGGATCCTAAGCCCCTCCATGGGACCCAGTGGCCATACTCTCTTAATATAGGTACTCTACATTATGGATTTCCCCTCTAGATCCGGACTTATTGGATGATGGAGGCGACGTCTCGGAAACTGACGTCACAGCCCATCGCGGGGCAACACCGTTGGAGCGATGCAGGAAGACGGAGAAGGAGGAGGGCGTTGTCGCGCGGAGGGGACGGAACGGCGGACAAAATTAAAATTCCTGAGGCAAAAGCGAGCGGTTTATGGGCACGGTCGCTTTTATGGGAGGACGCGGCAAAGGCCGCAGCTCAATGGGAAGCGACGCGGGGCCGCGGTATCGGAACGGAACTCATCGATGAGAAAGCTCTCCGGCGGATTGGATTGGATCGGATGCCCGCTGCGCCACGCTAGGCCACGCTCGGCCACGACCGGCCACATTCATAAATCGCCGCGAGTACTATCGAAGAATGAACCCGTAAACCCCACGACTCACCCCCTCCTCCGTCCCTCCCCCCGGAGCCCCCGGGGATCGACGGCTATCGTGTGGCGGGACTCAACAATGGGAGGACGTTGCCGATGTCGCCCCCGTCGGGCGCACCCGCACTTTTTGAGGTCGTCCGTTGCGGAAATGGATCGATCGGTCTCAAGAAGATTTAGGCGCTAAAAAATTGAAAACGGATCAGTTGCGCTGGTCACAAAATCGTGTTTTGATGCTTGACTCTTGTTGATAAGCTAAAAATAATAAGATCCGTCCAAACAGCGTCCCACCTACGTTCAATATTAATCGAGATACTGCCCCTTGAAAAATCGAGTTTTTGACGTCGTCTACCGCGGTAGTGACACCCTTGGTTTCTTCCACCTGACTTTCATCTGTCGGTGTAACGCACATTTGCACTGGTTGTTCAACGTGAAACTCGGATGAAAGCAAGGAAGAAGAAACCAAAGGTGTTATTACCGCGGTTGATGACGTCAAAGACCCGACTTTTCAAAGGGCGATGTCTCGGCTAATATTGAACGTAGGAAGTTGCTGTTTAGACAGATCTTATTATTTTTAGCTAATTTGTAAGAATCAAGCAAATACGATTCTGTGCCCAGCGCAACTGACCTATTGGGATTTTGGTGGCTCCGTATTGCTTAGGTGTATAGATCCATCCTGGACGAAGGGGACGCCCAGTGAAAGGGTGGCGACAGGAGGTTTTAGAGGATATGAGGGAGTGCCCACTCTCTGAGGGCCCTGGTAAAAATTGGCGATACGAGCTGCGTTTCAAGATACCATAGGAGTTCTTATAGCCGACTAAAGAAGGCTATTGAAAATCATATAGCTGGCTGTGGAAAGCGAAGCAAATCATATAGCCGGGCTATACGAAGTTATAAAAAAGTATACAGTCGAGCTATAGTTCCTATCGTCGGGCTTTACACTTTACCGCCATTGGCTACAAAAGGCTATAAGAAATTGTGTAGAAATTCGTGTGCTTTGGAAATCATTAAGTTTGATACGGAACTACCTTAATATTTACAAAACACACATTATATTTTCCTTTAATACATATTTTTTTTTTCATCAATTAAAATGAGAATAGTCCATACAGAGTGTGCAAATATTTCAAAATCATGAGTTGAAAAACGCTGACTCCGCGAGATTAAATATTAGAGCCTAACACAAAGCAGAGCGGCGACGCACTGGCGCCTACAAACCTAACAGGGATACTTCACGCATTGCGCAATGCGTGAAGTATCCCTGTTAGGTTTGTAGGCGCCAATGCGCGTTTCGCGCTGGCTGCCCGCCCGCCGCGCCGCAGCGTACCACTGCGCTTGAAGCAACTATTTTACACCAGAGGTAATGCACAGTATCATAAGAAATTGAAGGCGCTCCAACATATTATATTAAGAATGACAGGCATCCTTCAAAAGTACGGAGCTTTCCTCGCAAAATAAATCAAGATACTATGGCATGAAAAGAGAGCGGTAGTCCAAAAACTAAGTCCTAGTATCCGTATTTAGTAACGTTTAGCTAAACTTTATCGTCTGGCTGTTGCTTAATCGCCATCGGCTATAAAAGGCTATAAGAAATTGTACAGCCGGCTACAGAAGCTATTGGAAATCTTACAGCCGGCTTTAGGTCCATAGTATTTTGGAACACACATTCTACTGCCAATTTTTACCAGGGGGGATTTGGGAGGATAGAAAGTTTTGGCGGTTAGGTGTCACAGATGAGGTGATTAGATCCGATTTGAATCCCTCATGCAGTCATCTCGAATTTTCAAAAATGAGAGGGTTAGTAGGCGTTTGTTCTTTCGTGTCTTTAGCTTTTAGTAGAGTGGGGGTTTGTACGTTTCCCTTGAACTTCTTTCACTGTGGGACTCGTTTAACTTTCATGATACACGGACTCTGCAGGAATGGAGCTTTATTTAGTGACGACTACTCTCTGTGAAAGTTGATCGTCTCTAGGGTACTTATAGACAACGTGACAACAAGGTGGAGGACTGAATCAATCGAACCGATTGCGAATGAAAGATCGGAATCTAGTCCGCGGATGAACTCTTCTGTCTAACTGGAAACGGAGACAAAGAAAAATGAAAAGAAGAACAAGCAGGAAACACTGCGCATCAGGTTTAAAACCGGAACAGTTTATTAATACATCCAGGGGCTGTTGACTTATTCCCTTACTTCTCTCGTCACTCGGACAGTAACTCGTTTTCAGCACTTCCGTTTGACGAAACCTCGAAAGGCCTTTCCTGAGCACTTATTGAATTTTTTCGGCCTGTCAATATTTATTTTTCTCAGCGCAAATTTCAAAAACATATTTTAATGTTTTCGGGTCTGTAATTTCTGTAAATTTAATTCCATCGCCTCGCTTGACCACCCAGACGCGAAAATCCTTTTCAAGCCAATGACGATCTGAGGAAATGTTAACAAAATTTATAATCAATGATTTTTCGAGTGTTTCCTATTAGGCCACAAATTATGAGCTCTATGTATCAAGAAAGAAAAAAAAGGAAGAATTAAGTTGATTTGGCCATAACGCTGATAATTTGACAAACTTTACGAAGTCTAAGCTCAATAAAATGTGACAGTGCTCAAGTTCCATCATGCCAAGAGTACCTGTATGTAATTCGTTAAAACTTTCACTGAATTTTCTTTATGATTTTACAATGTTGGAAACTAAAAATTTGAGAAAATTTACCCAATTGTTTTCTCTCTAAAATATAAACTAGCAGTGGAGATTCTAAAACACTGCGACCAAGAAATGCCCTTTCTACACCCCCGACGCTCAGTTGCATTTAAGCACTTGATAATGCAGTTTTCCCCATCTTTTTTCCTGTAGCAAATCAAAAAAGAAATATCGCCGTGCAGATCATGAAAATGATCGACAAGTTATTTCAAATTGACAACGAAACAATAAAAACCCAAAGCTCGA